GTAAGGAGATGAGTAAGGGTATGTGTAAGGAGGTGAGTAAGGAGGTGAGGAAGAAGGTGAGTAATGGGGTGTGTAAGGAGGTGAGTAAAGAGGTGAGGAAGGAGGTGAGTAATGGGGTGAGTAAGGGGATAAGAGGTGAGTACGGGTGTGTGTAAGGGGGTAAGGGGGTGAGTAAGAAGGTGAGTAAGGGCGTGAGGAAAGGGGTGAGTAAGGAGGTGAGCAAGGGGTGAGTAAGGGGGTTGGCAAGGGGTGAGTTAGGAGATGAGTAAGGATGTGTGTAAGGAGGTGAGTAAGGAGGTGAGGAAGGAGGTGAGCAAGGTGTGAGTAAGGAGGTGAGGAAGGATGTGAGTAATGGAGTGAGTAAGGAGATGAGTGAAGGGGTGAGTAAGGAGGTGAGCAAGGGGTGAGTAAGGAGATGAGTAAGGAGTTATGTAAGGAGGTGAGTAAGGAGGTGAGGAAGGAGGTGAGTAATTGGGTGAGTACGGAGGTGTTTAATGGGGTAAGGGGTGAGTAAGGAGGTGAGTAAGGAGATGAGTAAGGGGGTGGGGTAGGAGGTGAGTAAGGAGGTGAGTAAGGGGGTAAGAAGTGAGAACGGGTGTGTGTAAGGGGGTAAGGCTTTGTGTAAGGCTAGTAAGGGGGTGAGTAAGCGGGTGAGTAAGGAGCTGAGTAAGAAGGTATGAAAACGTCCTGAAAACTTCCTAGTATAGGATAGCATGGCGTTGATAAACGATGTTCCCTATTTAGTCAATCCTTTTAAATGTCTGCCGTAACATTACTGGAATTAACCAAGGCTCTAATGATGAAACTTTTATTGAAACACTCAGCTGTAAGCAAAATGTGCCTTTCCACGAAATACAATGTGTATGAAATGCACATGGTCTGAAGTGCCCAAGTATAAGATTCATTTACTTGAAATAATAAACCACATAAATTTAGTCACTTGATAATTGCAAATTGTTATATTAAATATTACAGACTATTCATGAGTGGGTGTTCGTTTCGGACAACGATTAAGACGAGTCAATCTCATTAAAACCAGATCATAGTTCTCGCTGCCGCAACACTGTGCAAAATGTGTTCGAAATGTAGACAGACAAGACGTGTTTAGATCTAAAATGATTAGAAATGTGTTTAAATCCCAAACGAAATACACATTTGGTGTGTCCTATCTAAACGAATTTATGTCTAAAGCATGATATGAGCTGTCGTCTCACAGCTTAAACACCACCTAAACACAACATCCCTATATTTTAAACATGTTCAGAATTTAAACACGTTAAGACATTTATATAAATTATTTTAAACATGTTTGAACAGGTTATGATTTTAAACATGTGTAAAGTGTAAACAGGTTTTAAAATTAGAAATATGTTTAAACGTGTTTTATAACGTTACAACATGTTTAGAATTTATATATGTTTCAATAAAGTGCATATCATTGGGCAATAAGTCAAATATGGATAAGATTATAATATATATTAAAATAAGATGTCCAAATCGGGTTCACGGGCACTTGCACAACACATATACCGCCAGGACTTACAACAAACATGGTACAATATTAACATCAAAATGTGCAAAGTCACCAAACTCAGTTATTGGTGACAAGGAAAACTGTCACTTGTGACGACAACAGTCTCCTAGTCCAGGAAATAGCGCAAAGGGCTACAAATCAAGAGCTTGCTGGTTCTTGTCCCGCGGATGTTAAAAGGCATATGTGTTCTTAAATATGTTGTTGCTGTATGGCTTATAGTATTTCTCTCATACAGAAAGCTGACAATGAAAAATTATCTAATTACTACGATAGCTACCGCCGACCGAACACCCCCAAATTAATTCATTTATACTGCTAAAATAGCTTTCTGCGACTCCATTAAACGCTATAAAGATATAGGAAGCACCACATTTTTAATTTACCTACGATGAATTCCAAGGCGGGTATGCACATTTAGAGCTTAAACACGTTTAACTGTTAAACACAATCTTAAACAGGTTAAGACCTTAATCCTAAACATGTTAAGAACTCAACGTGTCTTATGGGACAAGGAACGTCTCTAAGATTGTGTTTAGGATCTAAACACATTTTTACTTTGTGAATAAAGATCTGAATAATAATAAATAAAGCGACAAAACCCTTTCCATATCGAATAGAAGTCTCTGCATAAAGAAGTCATCCCATTATCAGTCACGACCTTTCACCCGACCAACCAGAGCGTCGCTTACCAGACCAGTAAAGTGGCATTAGGAATGTGTTTCTAATCATGGAATATCGAAACAGTTACCACGCAGTATTCGAGCGACGGGCTGTACGGCTGATTCATCCAATTCATCGTTTATCTAACGCTTCAATGGGAAAAACTTTGGCCATCTATTAGACATTCTCGAATTTTTCTTTTTCAGTTTTCTAATTTTGAATTTCTGATTGGCTAATGGCGATTTCTTGTAAGTCATTTCATTGGTCAAAGTTCACGATAGGTCGTTCCGACATGACCTGGGATGTCCTCAGATCTTTGTGTAGCGGGTGCGAGCACTAAGATCTGATTTTAATGAATTGTAAGACATCTATTAAGGACGATAGGTAAACTTATTTATGCAATCAAAAAAATAATGTTTGTGAATGGCATATTAAAGTGATACCCATAAGGAAGAATGAGTGAGTGAGTATGGTTTTACGCCGCTTTTAGCAATATTCCAGCTATTTGACGGCGGGGGAAACCAGAAATGGGCTTCACACATTGTACCCATGTCGGTAATCGAACCCGGGTCTTCGGCGTGACGGGCGAACGCTTTAACCACGAGGCTACCCGACCGCCCCCCCATAAGGAGGAGAGTTTGTGGATGTCAGCTACTTTGTTATGAGGAGCACAACACTTTTGATTTCATACTTTCTCCTTCATCACTCGTCACTATATGGCTGAGATACTGCCGATGTGACGTAAAACTTTAACTAACTCTCCTTCATCAATCCTGATCCCGGGGTAAGTATATACTCCGAAACGCTGTGTTCCTCGTAATAAAGAAGCTGGCATCCATAGATTCTCCTCCCATCAAACATAGTTCGTCAAACTGTCTCAACAGTAGAATAACGTGCAAATCGATCAGAGATCAGTACTTCTCGGTCTGACGCACGTTCCTTTTCAATAATTCAACATATCTTCACTGTCTTAACCTAAATAGAGGTTCCGGTAGTTGCTGCATCATAAACGCGAATGAACAGATGGATACAGTGATGTTGACACAGTAGGCGTTTCCACGAACCCAAAACAGCTTCGAAAGATGACATTATACCGGAGAAATAGTTTTATATGGCCAGGGTCTGGCTCTGAAATGCAAGTGGAACTGTTCTCCAAAAGCACCAACATGGAGTGAGTGGGTTTGGGATTGAGTGAGTGAGTAAGTGAGTGTGTTAATATAATCTACGATAGACGCTGCTTTTAGCAGAGATTGCTTATGATTATGGAAGGAAGGGGGCCACTTTTAAAAAAAACAAACAAATCATGAGAAAATGAATTGGGTTTAACGCCGCTTTGAGCACCAGGAATGGACTCCACACATTGTACCCAAGTGGAGAATCGAACCAGGATCGAGGTGTCACAAGCTAATGCTTTACCCACTGGGCTATTCCATCTTTGCCCATGAACCTCTCTCATATTGTACATAACCACCATATAGCACTATCAGATAGACAGATGAGTACAAGAATAAAAGTTGAAACTGAACGTTTAGTATTATCTCTCTGATGTTTAGAACTAAACTATTGGTAAGATTTGATGAGTGAATGGGTGGTTTGTTTTTCTAAACAAATCCCACTATTTTGCTGAAAACATCATGGGAGTTAATCAGATTCTCGTGAATGGTTTAACCTATGAGAGTTAAATATTCTTCTTCTTCACGATGAGAGGCCCATTTCTGGCGTCTCCCGCTCTGATGTAATATTGCCAAAAGCGGTGTAAAACCATACTCACTCACTCACTCACTCTTCTTCACGATGACACGCTTTAAAAGGAACATGTGTTAAGTGGCAGTTCTAACACATTTAATTAGAGTCAATGTTACCAAAAAATGAGAAACTCTTTGCCCATCTGCTAAATCATATGATACATCTCAGTCTAACACTAAACAACTACCCTAATAACACAGAGACAATGTGTCATGTACACACAGAACGGAGTAAGTAGTGTCGTTCCACACTGAAAGACTGGAGCCTGTAGTCTTTCTGTAGCTGAGAACCGCGAAGACCCGGGGTAGAATAGGTCTTTAGCAACCCATGCTTGCCGTAAAAGGCGACTATGCTGGTCGTAAGAGGCGACTAACGGGATCGGTTGGCCAGGCTCATCGACTTGGTTGATACAGGTCATGGTATCCCAATTGCGTAGATCGATGCTCATGATATCAATCACTGGACTGTCTGGTTCAGACTCCCATTTACAGACCGCTATCATGTAGCTGGAATATTGCTCAGTGCGATGTTAAACAACAAACAAATATGTAGCGGGGCCCGTTTCTGTCAGTCGGAATAGCTGGAAAATTGCTGGTGCGGCGTAAAACAATGTTAATCCATTCATTCTGTCAGCCTCCTATATGCTTTGTCATTGGCCGGGAACAGCTGCTTGTATAGCTTTGACTTTATATACTACTCCACGTGTGATAGGGATATGTTGTATCTTTCCATGATACAAAAAAATGATTCTTACCTGTCAAGTGAATATTTAAATAGAATGACACATCTGAATATCCCTATTCAGCGGTTGAGCAATATATAAGTAATAGTTTGTTTTCATTGCGAAATACGCCATCGCATCATAATCATGTGAGGAACCAATGGCAGTCATCCAAACGCCGTAATCGTCTTTTTGTAAGCCAACGATCCTTCCAACAATAGACCTGTAATGGATACGTTAGGGCAGCAGCTATATGGTTGTAACCAACTGAAGCGTAACCTTGCCTTAACAACAGGTACACGGCACAGGTATTGTGAAACACGTGTCCTTATCAACACACACAAACGCCACTTGCAGTGTGGGTGCAGCTACTTGTTCTCGGTTGATGGTACTTTCCATGTTTAAATAATACAATACTACATTTCGTTGTGCTTTAGGTTAAGCTGGTCGTGTCATACTGAAAGACTCGTACGAACATGGCGGCGGTATTTACCAGATTCTTGGGCCTGATGTTACTTGTTTGTTCCATTCGTGAATCATCCGCTTCAGAAGATATAACGGGTAAGTCCACTGTAAGATCACTTCAAACAAAACACTGTATTCTTGTTTCATTTTTTTTTATAGATATGGGCTGATGGGTCATATTTTAAATATATTTGATATTTCGATTCCTCAAACACTCTAAGTTACATTCATAAATGTACTTCATTAAAACAATCGTGTAAAGAAGTAGAGACCATGTTTACGAGACCTTTTCCGAAAATACATCACAAACGCATTTATCGGTCGGTGAAAACCGCGGCCTGGCATGGACCATGCGTCAGAGTGAGTGAGTGAGTGAGTTTGGTTTTACGCCGCTTTTAGCAATATTCCAGTAATATCACGACGGGGACACCAGAAATGGGCTTCACACATTGTACCCATGTCGGGAATCGAACCCGGGTCTTCGGCGTGACGAGCAAACGCTTTAACCACAAGGCTACCCGACCGCCCCTCCATGCGTCAGAACTAACGGAACGAAATCTGAGGCCCTGTTTTAAGGTACATTGATGTTGAATCGTCAGATAGCGTTTAGGTTTACTGCAAGTACTTCTTCGTGTCTTGTGCGTTTGCTTCCAGGCGAACCTTTTTAAGTTACGGGTCTGGCTCGATACGTGATGTGTTCTTAAATGTGTACATCCTTCTCGTTGTATAAATAAATCGAGAAAAATGATTTGTGATTGTGGAGTTCTCTTACAAGCAGTTAGCTCTGGGACGTCTTCATTATAATATCATATAGATGTGCTGTTACAAGTATCATATTCTGCCAGCAGATCCTGCTCAACATGACGTCACTTTTAAAAAATAAAACGAATTACATGCAGGGAAATCCGTAATTCCGTTTTTGTTATGCTATAATTACACGTGGTCTTTTGAAGAAAGAGAATTAAGGACTTAGTATGAACTATCAACCTTACAGAGAAACTCACTGAAATAAATCTGTTTCTATAGTGATGAAATACTGCATTTATCTTAAATATAAAAATATATACGGTAAACTACAATTATAACGAACTCAAAGGGACTACTAATTTTAGTTCGTTATAACCGTAGTTCGTTATAAGCATATATACAGCATAACTACAGCAAATAGACGGGACCAAAAAAGTAAGTTTGTTATATCCGTCAGTTCGTTAAAAGCGTGTTCGTTATAACCGTGGTTTACTGTATGTTTTTATTGTGTCGTCAAATAACATGTTCAAATAACACTCGATAAAATAAACATGTCTGGTGATGAGAAAATAGAAATTTGTGCTGTACTGAAGTATTTACTTTCACTTTGTGTGAGATCATTGGAGTATGAACCTTCATTGAGTGAGAGCAAAACTGTACCAACGTCGGAGCTTGCGACAAAGTGAAAGTCAATTCTTATAATTTTTATGTCACTAGTTTTACCTCAAAGGACGTAGACCTTGATATATCCACATTGTATTTAGTGCGTGTGACTTCATGTTTAAACACTGACAGCCATACAACAACCTGCTGTATCGCGGAATAAAATAGTTCCTCAAAACGAGAAGTTTCTTCATGACAAATGTACTCAAATAACATCCTTAGATAGAATTAGATATAAGATAAGAAAGGTCTTTTAAGAACTACCTCAGTAATTCAGTAACAATGCATTTACATCAAGTACAAGACGTCAAAATGGCCGACACGAATAACGTTACGGGAAAGATTTCGGAAGTTGTTAATGAAACTGGAGCGGTTACATGGGTGAGTTATTATTGATTAACTGGCCGATCATTGAATAGTGATTAAAGATGTGTCAAACAGACACAAATGTAAATTCATAGAGTGCTGCAAACGATCAGCCCAGACACGGTTCGAGTCGATACTACCATAGTTTAGGTGTGCATTTCTTCGTTTTGTTCATTAGGATGGGCCGTAGCAAGGATATTCGAGAACAATCATTCAGTCAAACTCTCTGACGTTTCTCAATGTATACTGAAACGATGAGTTCAAGATTAAAGGGTTTACATGACGCTTCTGTATGTTTTCCTGCTAGGAAATTCCTAGCGTTTTCCCCAGAAATTTGGGAGTAGTCCGTCTGTGTTAACGTCATTTTAAGAACACGGGGTTCGTGAAAAACGTATGTGTCGTTCATACACTTATGAACGTCAATTTCGCGGTAATTTGACCACCTCACGTCCAATGGAAAAGCCGTATATCGTGTAAACTTTAAAAATATATTTGATATTGTTATTCACAAAGAAGCAACATGGCTTCAATTGACCAATAAACATTGAAATGAATCAATATGCACAATGGCAAATATGGTATGTTATTCAACACAATATGCCATTCCTTGGTGAAGTGGTGGTTCCTTGTCAAAGGTTGTAACGTCATTATCGGTACTTGTTTCACACAAAATCCACTAGTACATATATCAGAACTAGCTTTGTCTGATTTTGTACGATTTGTGTTCTATAAACAACAAACACAAAAGCAGACAAAGCTAGGTATAACAGACACATTACCGTCCCTTTAATTAACGTCGGTATTGTAGATGCACCGAGTTGGATGTTATATTACATATTAACATATCTATTTCCATAAAGTGGAGGGATTGGCAAACAATCAAATCTTGCTTATCTGAATGCGTCTCCCAAACTTGATACATATACAAATTACAATGTATTGAAAGTAACATGAGATATAGTGACATTATATTATTGACATTAGAGTAACTTGTTAATTATTGTACTGTAAGTGTTACATACTCGATTTTCTTTCGTAACTACACCTACGTTATTATTTACATCCAGCACAACAACATCGCAGTATCATGTAGCAAAGCAAACATTGCTTAAAAAAAAAGAAGAAAAAACTCTAATTTCTAAATCGGCAGGAAGAAAGAATAGAACTATCAACTGATTTCTAAATTTCAAGATTTGTTACAGTCGTTAAATGTGAGTTGCCATTTAAAATTGAATTTAAATCGTAGACGTTTACGAAATAATGCATATTTTGCCTTAATGTCCTGTTTAAGGGACAGGTAGGAACGAAATGAAGTACGTCTTCCATGTGATAGCCACAACATCTGGGTCTGTCGGATATAAATCTGGCAAATTATATGTTGTATGTTATCTTTCAGTGTACATGGACGAGATGTGCTACGTGCCAATCAATTTCGACTTGATTGATGCCACGGAACAAATAGTGAAAATATCCAGGTTCAATACCTACCCTGCCAACAGTACCTGTTTTGTCAAGGTGGTGGCTAGATCAGGCTACAGACTGATGTTCAAATTCCTGTCTGTTGAGATGGACACTTGTAACGACTTCATGGGTGTGTACGGCGATACCATTACAGCTCCAGATGGTGAGTGAGTGAATCCCATCTTCTCCACACAGGGGATTATTAGAATACAGTTAGTTGCCTCAGCAACCTTAGCTTTATGAGTGGAGACCTATATTCTCACCTGAACTCCCCGCGGATTTAAAGCACATCTGAATGATCCAGGTAATATTGGCATATGAGGTATCATGACAATTCACAATATTTAAGAAATAAACAACGAGTCGGAGTTGATTGTCCTACAATAAAACACTGCAGGGAGAATAAACCATGAGGTGCGCATCCCGAGTGGTTTATTCTCCTCGCAGTGTTTTATTGTACGCTAAACAACGACCACGAGTCTTTTATTTCTTATATGAGATATCAACATTTTGTACAGCCTTTTTAAGGATGTAAATTTAATGTACAATCTTTAAAACGCTTAACTGAATTAAATAATGATGACTCCCTGAATACAATACGACCTCGGCAAATGTCGGACAAGTCCATTTTATGAATGGGGGTTTTTCCCGGATATTCTCACAATTTTCACGTCGATTATCTGTATCGTTCCTCTCAATAACAATTGTCATTTTTCTCCCTCTTTTGAAAGCGATGGTTCGGCCATTGCGTTCATTGCGTTGCCCAACTACATCTACGGGAAACAACTCACTGCACACTTCCCTCTAAACAATGACGTCGTCCAATATCCGATCAAATCATCAAGTTGTGATCGCATGTGTATTAGTGTATTACCGCTTGGGTAACTGTATTCACCGGTAATCCCATGAGCTCACCGAGGTGGACAATCCCATGGAAGTGTTTGTTTGTTTGTTTGTTGTTTAACGCCGCACTCAGCAATATTCGCGCTACATGACGGCGGTCTGTAAATTATCGAGTCTGGACCAGACAATCCAGTGACTGACATCATGAGCATCGATCCACGAATTTGGGATACGATGACATGCATTAACACGTTCAGCGAGCCTGACCACTCTATCCCGTTAGTTGCCTCTTACCACAGGCATAGTCGCAGTTTATGGCAAGCATGGGTTGCTGAAGACCTATTATTCACGGGTTCACAGTTGACCTGACTAATCTAGAGTAAATAGGGATGACTGTTCAGTTAAATTCTCAGATGAATTATATTATTATACTTACCTTGGAAAACGTATTGGAATGTAGCAGCTGTTAAGTCTCACCTTCCCGACTCGGTGAAAGGGTGAGGTGCCATGAAGTTTCTTTGCAGGTTTTGAAAACTGAAACATTGAAATGATTACAAACGTTTATCTTGATACAGATTGCCTTAAATAGTCCATGTGCAAAATGCACTGGTAATTTGTTTGAATTAAATTCTCAAGTTCTGTACTCAGACTAGGACAGACGTATCATTATATACACATTTGTCATACTGTATGAAAATAATAAGTGTTGCCATGAACAATATGCAAGTAAGCAGAAAAATGTATTTTTTCAATTGTCTTTCAGCGATAAATGCATTTGTGTGTGTCCAGCCACACAACGTATACACCACCCTAGGCTCGACAGGCAACTTGCTATTCCTCAGTGATGGAGTTGGAAATGACGGAGGGATGAGTATCCTGGTAACAATGTTCAAGACCAAGAGTATGTATATAGAAGATATTATCTTCGTGTTCATGTCATACCATGTTTACGACACGAGTGTCTAAGTTCCGGTATTTCCCGAGCGGGAGCAAGGGAAATACCGGGATTTTGGCACAGGTGTCGTAAACATGGTATGCCATGAACACGAAGATAATGTTATATTTATTACCGAAGTAGATGTCTACATACAGAGACGAATTTCAGTGTGTACCTATAAGGAAAGCGGAACCACAATTTGTCGAATGACGTCAACAATCTTCAGCTATGACGTCGTTTCTAGTGTGACGTCATTCTAACTCGCGTCACAATAAGATTCGAATGACGTAAACAATGCCGCCCGAATGACGGAAACAATACACTGTTGTCTCGTGACGTGATATGACCCCAGGGCACATATTGTCTTTATGTACCCCGCTATGTTTGCCCTCGTAGGTAATGAATTCGAATATTTATAGAATAATCTACGAGCTACGAGAAATTCCCAAGCCATGGCGGGGAATATTAACATTGAATCAAGAGGGACAGCTAAGCCTTTAGTCTGAGTTACTAGTAATGTATTCTTTAAATTACTCGTAGTACTTCAGAGTAAATGCAGTTAAAGAGAATCGCGTGGTAAAATTAAGACTTTCAATCCCCACGCTAACGCTTATGTGAGTCGACCATTTGGTGATCGGGACAGTGATATCTTTTCAATGATATTACCTTACACATGCATTATGCATCTTTAGTTGGAGCCAGTGTTGAATAATAAGTGGTACTCCCTCACACGTGCATTATAATCTCTTGTTGGAGCCAGTGTTGGATAATAAGTAGTACTCCCTCACACATGCATTATAATCTCTTGTTGGAGCCAGCGTTGGATGATAAGTGGTATTATCATCCAAAACTGGCTCCCACAGCGGATATCGCTTGGATGAGATCAAGTTGGATTTAGTTGGAGCCAGTGTTGGATAATAAGTGGTACTCCCTCACACATGCATTAAACATATTTAGTTGGGGCCAGTGTTGGATAATAAGTGGTACACCCTCACACATGCATTATACGTATTTAGTTGGAGCCAGGGTTGGATAATAAGTGGTACACCCTCAAACATGCATTATACGTATTTAGTTGGAGCCAGGGTTGGATAATAAGTGGTACTCCCTCACATATGCAATGTTTTATTCAACCAGGTGGGCCGGGTGTTATATTCGCCACAATTTACGCGTCCCATTTTCATTATGTCGTGAGTTCGAATCCCAGATTCGCTCTGATTATGATTCTTGGTCTGTCAGCACCACGCCCGTTCTTCCCGTTTCACTAAAGTTGTAAACCTCTTGGTTAGAGAGTTTGACCGCTGGGTTTTCCTCACATATTAACACCCCGTGGATGCTGGAAAGATATATCCTCCTCGTCTACTCTCACTTTGAAATCCTGATTGTGTTTCTATGTTTGTCAGGACCCTACCCGTTCTCGTGGGTTTTACCAACGGGTAACGCCTGAGACTTGCATCACTTAGGGTTTTCCTCCCACATCAAGCTGACACGCAGTGATACAACTGGACTATTGTTCAAATCGGCGTTAAACCCAAGTCACTCACTCATGCACACAGATATACTTCTTCATAATTCTGGCAACACTTTCAATTTACAACGTTGCAACGTGCGTGAGAACCCGATTGACTCAACAGCTCAATAACCCACATTTCAGATGGCGATTGTGGCAAGAAACAATTCAACTGCGATAATAATCGCTGCATCCATGACGACCTGAAATGCAACTCCCGGGACAACTGCGGCAACAACCAGGATGAGGAGGAGGGCTGTCGGTGGTGGCTCGGCTTGGTAATCGGTCTGACCGCGACGGCGGTCATCTCAACTACTGCATTGATCATCTTCATAATATTCTTGAAGAAATATTCGGGTCGTAAAAGGGTGCGTGAATACTTGTTTGATGGCGTTTAAGTATATGTACGATGTATAGCGGCTGGCGTTTAAGTTTATGTACGATGTATAGTGGCGGGCGTTTAAGTATATGTACGATGTATAGCGGCTGACGTTTAAGTTTATGTACGATGTATAGTGGCGGGCGTTTAAGTTTATGTACGATGTATAGTGGCGGGCGTTTAAGTTTATGTACGATGTATAGTGGCGGGCGTTTAAGTATATGTACTGTGTGTAGTGGCGGGCGTTTAAGTATATGTATGGTGTATAGTGGCAGGCGTTTAAGAATATTTCCTGTGCTTAGTGGCAGCGTTTAAGAATATGTACGATGTATAGTGGCTGGCGTTTAAGTAAAAGCACGATGTTTTGTACGTGGTGGTTTTTACAGTTCCACTGTCCAAAACTCTCACAAAAGTCGGATAGTACTGAATATTTTAGGGAGAGTCTTGGCAAATTGGGCCAGAGAAAATACTCTTTACACTCTTTTTAGACAACAATTTCTTTCTTTCTCCCAAACCAACTATACTTGAAAGTCAACTTAATTGACAAAAGCAAGATTTTGTCAAATAATTACCTTTGTTTGTATATATACTAACTGCATGTCCCTAAATGAAACACTATCCAAGTCTCTATCAAATAAAATGAATGCACAACTATAATTGGTGGATGTGTAAAATAAGACTTCTTGTTTTCACAGATTCAAACCCAACCTGTTCGAGGCTGGGTCCTCAATCAACCCCATCAGGGCTGGGCGATGACTCAGGCCTCGCAGAGCTCAGGGGGCCAACCCCACGTGCAAAATGTAACACATCCGTACCCCACAAAGAACGGCAACCTCACACAGTACTCAAATATCGAACAGGCACCCACGGTTCATAGTCAGCAGTCCTCCCTTGAGACTCCAAGCTTTTCTGATCCCCCGACCTATATGGAGACAGCACCCGCACCATTTAACTACACCCTCCCAGCGGACACCGTTATGGCACCTGCCCCTGCTCCAGTGATGGCCTCCTCAGTAACAGGAGGGACGGGGGCCTACGGGCCACAACAAATATAACTCTAAAATTAAACAATGTAGGCAGGTCACTCTTATGCCAGAAGTCCGTTGTGATATATTTCATAAATCACACACACACCGTGACACACAGACAGTCGTGATATACTTCATAAATCACACACACCGTGACACACAGACAGTCCTGATACTCTTCTTAAAGCAGACACACCATGGCACACAGAGAGTCCTCGTATACTTCATAAAGCACACACACCGTGACACACAGACAGTCGTGATATACTTCATAAAGCAGACACACCGTGACATACTGACAGTCGTGGTATACTTCATAAATCACACACACCGTGACACACAGACAGTCCTGATATACTTCATAAAGCACACACACCATGACACACAGACAGTCCTGATATACTTCATAAAGCACACACACCGTGACACACAGACAGTCCTGATATACTTCAGACAATGCGTGCACTGTATGCAGACAATGCGTGCACTATATACAGACAATGCGTGCTCTGTATACAGACAATGCGTGCACTGTATACAGACAATGCGTGCACTGTATACAGACAATGCGTGCACTGTAAGAGAATGTGTGTAGTGTCTACAGATAATGCATGCACTGCACAGACAACGTGTGTACTGTACACAGACAATGCATGCACTGTACATAGACAATTTGTGTACTGTACACAAACAATGCATGCACTGTATACAGACAATGTGTGTACTGTACACAGACAATGCATGCAATGTACACAGACAATGCAGGCACTGTACACAGACAATGTGTGTACTGTACACAGACAATGCATGCACTGTACACAGACAATGCATGCAATGTACACAGAAAATGTGTGTACTGTACACAGACAATGCATGCAATGTACACAGACAATGCAGGCACTGTACACAGACAATGTGTGTACTGTACACAGACAATGCATGCACTGTACACAGACAATGCATGCAATGTACACAGACAATGTGTGTACTGTACACAGACAATGCATGCAATGTACACAGACAATGTGTGTACTGTACACAGACAATGCATGCAATGTACACAGACAATGCATGCAATGTACACAGACATATGTGTACTGTACACAGACAATGCATGCAATGTACACAGACAATGTGTGTACTGTACACAGACATATGTGTACTGTACACAGACAATGCATGCAATGTACACAGACAATGTGTGTACTGTACACAGACAATGCATGCACTGTACACAGACAATTCGTGCTCTGTATACAGACAATGCGTGCACTGTATACAGACAATGCATGCACTGTACACAGACAATGTGTGTACTGTACACAGACAATGTGTGTACTCTACCCAGACAATGCATGCACTGTACACAGACACTGCATGCAATGTACACAGAAAATGCATGCAATGTACACAGACAATGTGTGTACTGTACACAGACAATGCATGCACTGTACACAGACAATGCGTGTTCTGTATAGACAATGCGTGCTCTGTATACAGACAATGCGTGTACTGTATACAGAGAATGTGTGTACTGTACACAGACAATGCATGTACTGTACACAGACAATGCATGTACTGTACACAGACAATGCATGCAATGTACAAAGACAATGTGTGTACTGTACACAGAAAATGCATGCACTATACACAGACAATGTGTGTACTGTACACAGACAATGCGTGTACTGTATACAGAGAATGTGTGTACTGTACACAGACAATGCATGCACTATACACAGACAATGTGTGTACTGTACACAGACAATGCATGCAATGTACACAGAAAATGCATGCAATGTACACAGACAATGTGTGTACTGTACACAGACAATGCATGCAATGTACACAGACAATGCGTGTTCTGTATACAGACAATGCGTGTACTGTATACAGAGAATGTGTGTACTGTACACAGACAATGCATGCAATGTACACAGACAATGTGTGTACTGTACACAGACAATGCATGCAATGTACACAGACAATGTGTGTACTGTACACAGACAATGCATGCAATGTACACAGACAATGTGTGTACTGTACACAGACAATGCATGCAATGTACACAGACAATGTGTGTACTGTACACAGACAATGCATGCAATGTACACAGACAATGTGTGTACTGTACACAGACAATGCATGCAATGTACAAAGACAATGCGTGTACTGTATACAGAGAATGTGTGTACTGTACACAGACAATGCGTGTACTGTATACAGAGAATGTGTGTACTGTACACAGACAATGTATGCACTATACACAGACAATGTGTGTACTGTACACAGACAATGCATGCAATGTACAAAGACAATGTGTGTACTGTACACAGACAATGCATGCACTGTACACAGACAATGCGTGTTCTGTACACAGACAATGCATGCAATGTACACAGACAATGCGTGCTCTGTATGCAGACAATGTGTGCACTGTACACAGTCAATGCATGCACTGTACACAGACAATGTGTGTACTGTATACAGAGAATGTGTGTACTGTACACAGACAATGCATGCAATGTACACAGACAATGTGTGTACTGTACACAGACAATGCATGCAATGTACACAGACAATGTGTGTACTGTACACAGACAATGCATGCAATGTACAAAGACAATGCGTGTACTGTATACAGAGAATGTGTGTACTGTACACAGACAATGCGTGTACTGTATACAGAGAATGTGTGTACTGTACACAGACAATGCATGCAATGTACACAGACAATGCGTGCTCTGTATGCAGACAATGTGTGCACTGTACACAGTCAATGCATGCACTGTACACAGACAATGTGTGTACTGTATACAGAGAATGTGTGTACTGTACACAGACAATGCATGCAATGTACACAGACAATGTGTGTACTGTACACAGACAATGCATGCAATGTACACAGACAATGTGTGTACTGTACACAGACAATGCATGCAATGTACAAAGACAATGCGTGTACTGTATACAGAGAATGTGTGTACTGTACACAGACAATGCGTGTACTGTATACAGAGAATGTGTGTACTGTACACAGACAATGTATGCACTATACACAGACAATGTGTGTACTGTACACAGACAATGCATGCAATGTACAAAGACAATGTGTGTACTGTACACAGACAATGCATGCACTGTACACAGACAATGCGTGTTCTGTACACAGACATTGCATGCAATGTACACAGACAATGCGTGCTCTGTATGCAGACAATGTGTGCACTGTACACAGTCAATGCATGCACTGTACACAGACAATGTGTGTACTGTATACAGAGAATGTGTGTACTGTACACAGACAATGCATGCAATGTACACAGACAATGTGTGTACTGTACACAGACAATGCATGCAATGTACACAGACAATGTGTGTACTGTACACAGACAATGCATGCAATGTACAAAGACAATGCGTGTACTGTATACAGAGAATGTGTGTACTGTACACAGACAATGCGTGTACTGTATACAGAGAATGTGTGTACTGTACACAGACAATGTATGCACTATACACAGACAATGTGTGTACTGTACACAGACAATGCATGCAATGTACAAAGACAATGTGTGTACTGTACACAGACAATGCATGCACTGTACACAGACAATGCGTGTTCTGTACACAGACAATGCATGCAATGTACACAGACAATGCGTGCTCTGTATGCAGACAATGTGTGCACTGTACACAGTCAATGCATGCACTGTACACAGACAATGCGTGCACTGTATACAGACAATGCGTGTACTATATACAGACAATGTGTGTACTATACACAGACAATGCATGCACTGTACACAGAGAATATGTGTACTGTACACAGACAATGCGTGTACTATACACAGACAATGTGTGTACTGTACACAGACAATGCATGCACTGTACACAGACAATGTGTGTACTATACACAGACAATGTGTGTACTATACACAGACAATGCATGCACTGTACACAGACAATGCGTGCACTGTATACAGACAATGCGTGTACTATACACAGACAATGTGTGTACTATACACAGACAATGCATGCACTGTACACAGACAATGCGTGTTCTGTATACAGACAATGCGTGTACTGTACACAGACACTGCATGCAATGTACACAGAAAATGCATGCAATGTACACAGAAAATGCATGCATTGTACACAGACAATGCGTGTTCTGTATAGACAATGCGTGCTCTGTACACAGACAATGCATGCACTGTACACAGAGAATGCGTGTACTGTACACAGACAATGCGTGTACTGTATACAGAGAATGTGTGTACTGTACACAGACAATGCGTGTACTGTATACAGAGAATGTGTGTACTGTACACAGACAATGCATGCACTATACACAGACAATGTGTGTACTGTACACAGACAATGCATGCAATGTACACAGACAATGCATGCACTGTACACAGACAATGCATACACTGTACACAGACAATGCATGCAATGTATACATACTGCTTCTCTGTATATAACTGATGATGTGTATAGGAATTGACATATCGTGACAGGCCAGTTAACCCTATAAATGAGAGTGAATGTGACGTGTACATGTGTGATGATGATGGAACGTGTCATATTTTACAAGAAACTGTAAATATGTCCATATATTTTGATTATCATTATTATGTACCAGTTAAACAGATACATGCGTGCTTATTGTATATATTGTCTACAGATGTTCCTACAAGGAAAACAACAGCGATGATTTTTGTGAGGGGAATTGCAGTATTTTGTAGTTTGTTCCTAATGATAAATATACATTGGATGTTTTCTATGTATGATATATAATACTTTAGCAGATGAATGTAAATGTGTAATAACACGCCATATCACCATGAGGAAACAACCCTTTATCTAAAACAATATAGCAAATCATAACATGTTTTATATTTTATTAAAAAATTTTTTCTTCAATTCGCGCTAATAAAAAGGGCAAATAAAAATCTTTTGTTTAATTTTAATGACATGTTTTTGTGATGCGTGTATTACACTGCCATTGATCGATTGTTTTTTGCCTTCACATCACATTTGAATTTGCCAGAATATATCTGTGACTTGAGGTCCTTATTGCCCCGATCACAGGGGGTATGAGGGGACACGGGTGGCCCAGTCGTCTAAGGCGCCGCGATTCGATGTGTAGAGTTGCATCCCTTGGGCACGCCAGAAACCTATGATTGTGGGTTCAAATCCCGGTTCGCCCCGATTATGTTTCTAGGTTTGTCAGCACCATACCTGTGCTCGTGGGTTTCACCGAAGTGGCAAACGTCTGAGACCTGCATCACTTGGGGCTTTCCTCCCACATTAAGCTGACACGCCGCGATATAACTGGAATACTGTTAAAAGCGGCGTTAAACCCAACTCACTCACTCACTCACACAGGGGGTATGTGCTGTCCATGGCAAACCGGGAGTTAGTAGATAGCAGCTACTATTTCCTCGCTGGACAGTAACAAATGAGATTTCACCCCAGCGCATAAATCATGATCGAGGCAATTTTTAGCCCTTTAATTTAATATTTTGAACTAATTCGAACTCATATAATGCACCTGACGGCCTCCGGACCATAAATCGTTTTAGTATTTGTACAAGACACTCAATAAAAAGTTCAATATTTTTATCTTTACTTTTGACGTCATCTTGTGCGATAGTGGACGAGTAAAAAACTAGCAGCATGAAAACAACATTATGTATTCTCACTAGAGTATATTTGTGTCAATTTTGGCTTATCAGGCTAGTTGAGGATTTGTATAACCTTTGTGTGATGAATATTTTCTGGCTTATATAGAGTCACGGTCACCTGCCACGGATTAGGCCATTATTTAATTACTAGTTGCATATATCGTTCAGCTCAACCGACAGTAAATGTACATGTACTATACAGTGGCGGTGGGGATTA